CAGCTAATTACTGATTAGGAGGACCTTACGCTCGCGCTCCCAAATGGAATTTGTAAGTACGTTTTTTTTTCGCCGGCTACTGCAATTATCATATGCTCATTTGGCGGCAAGCGCAGCCAATTTGAGGTTGTACTCGCTGGAGCGCTAAAATTTTTAAGAAGGAGAACTTACTGAAAATTTGCGACGTACGGCGTGTGTTGCGCGGCTCTACAGCGTAAACATCAACTAACTAACAAGCGCGCGCGGCGTACTGCTTTTTGAGTGCGCGTCGTCAAAATTACGAGCGTATTAGTTATCACTGCGCTCACTTATTTACTACTGCGATGGTGGCGTAGCGCGCACGACAATTAAGGCCGGTCCACATAGAACTTTCGCGTTGGCTTTGGCGTTGGCGTTGGTTTGACAGAACGCACGTTAAAAGTATGCTTGCTACAATGAACGCTTGGCAGCGAATCCTTGGGCCACTAAATTAACATATTAACGACAGATAAATTAATATTTCATATCAATAATTGCATTAAAAACGATATTTCTTGCCCGCACTTGATTAAAAAGGAAAAATATTTCACATAATTTTATTTATTCGCAACAGCTGACGAGCGACGCACGCGAAAAGTTGAGAGTTGGCCATCTTTTTGCTTTGTGTTGGCGTGAGCGTTGTCGAATTTTGGCTATGTGGACGGCTGCATTTGAATTCATGTATTCATAGTCAGCTGTTGAAGCGACGCCAACGCCAACGCAACGCCCTACTCCCGTATCGTACGGTGGGTGGACTGACGGCCGGAACACAGAATGGGGAATTGAGAACGGAGAATGATTTGAGTTGAAGGCGTATGTCAAAGTGGTGTTGGTTGTGGTGGTTGTGCTGGTGGCGGCGAAATGATTTAAAGCTCGTCGGCGATTTCAAGCATCCGTTGATGGTTACCCCAGCAACGAGTACATGTGTGAGTGTCGGGTTGAATGTCGGGTGCTTGAAGCTTGCCCGGCGACACTCAAGCATAAAGCGTCAACACCATTTGCAATAAAATTTCGTAGTGGGCGGACGTAAACATGTCTTCATCGGATGACGATTTTTTGCTACTTGCCACTGCATTGGGGTATCTTTCCTTATCTATTTCCAGCAGAATGTCGTATTGCTTACACTTTTCATCGCGGTTGGAATATGCTTCGCACTTAGTATTCCACAAAGCGGGTAAAGCGCTGGTTATACTTGCATTGTGCTGCAGCGCATAACATGAGTACTGCCACATATAGAATCTGTTTAACGAGCTTTGCATACAAGCGATTATCCTACGCAGCGCATGACAGGGCATGGCATCTAAGTCTGGAGAATATTGATTTTTCGCTATGTGACATTTTCAAAGAGAGATGCCACTCTCATTGCTCTCATTAGTCTGTTCCAGTACCCATCAGATTTAGAGGAATTACTGAGAAGTCGTTCTTGTACATACATACATTGGGGCATATTTATATTCGAAACAAAGTCAATTATAAAGTTAGTTGCCGCCATTTCATTGAAAATTATGACAAAAAGCAGCAACTAACTTTAGTGTCGACTTCATTTAAGCTATGAATAAGCATTCTTCACTTATGTTTTCCTAACTAAATGCTGGAGTAGTGGAACAGACTAACTGATCACAGTGAGCAGCTGATTCTGGAAAATTATGCGCTCTATGCCGAGTATAATTACACCACTGCTTCACATGCGCTGCTTCTCTATGCCCTGCACTTGCAATGTAAGTATAACCAGCGCTTAAGGACGCATAAGTTTCAATAAACCGCAACGTAAAATCTTTATCTTCCGCGAACTTGCTCATTTTACATATCACAACAAACTAACACACTAATGCTTGTCAACGCTTTGCGCCACTATCAAACAGACCGCTTGTCAAGCGGTCGCGTTGATGGAAAATCAAAAATTTTTGATTTTCCATCAACACGAGCCGACAACAAGTACGTGTGACACGACGATCTCCGATTGCCTCGGTTGCTGGGGTAACCATCAACGGATGCTTGAAATCGCCGACGAGCTTAAATCGCTTCGCTTTGACACTTTATTTCTTTGCGTACTCAATTTGTACTTGTTGTTGTTGTTGTTTGTTTATTCGCTTTTCTTTGCTATTACTGTTTTAGTAGTCGTTGACACTATGTATTTTTGTTGCTACTTTTTTATGATGTACGTTGTCGTTAATATTTGTTGCCGCCGCGTTATTATTAGTGTTTTTCTCTGTTTGTTTTATTTTTATTTTTGTTTTTTGTTAGTCTTTCACCTTCGCTATCGTTGTTTAACAAATTGTTGACTTTACTCTGTAGTTGTTGCTGTCGTTGTAACTACTCCACATGCATTTTACTGTTGCGTGTATGTAGGTATGTGCGCGCTATGTGGGCGTATTGGTTGGCGCTGGTGGTGGGTTGATTCTTTTATGACGGAAATCTACAAAGAAACGAAAATACAATAAAGCAAACGAATATGGAAAATAGTAGTAAAAAATAAAATGGTAGATATTAAACTGCGCTATCAATAAAAATGGAACACAACAAAGAAATTGGCAACGCCTTCCACTTTGCGGTACAGAACAAAAGGAAACACACAAAAAATATAAAAATGCACAGCGCAGTTGATAGCTGGGTGCAAATCAAATACATAGACATATATGTAGTGTCGCCACCTAAAAATCCCCATGGGGGTTAAAAACCCCCCCCCCCCCCCCCTCAAGTCAAAGAATAATATTTCACTAAAATGGGTCTAGAAAAAAGGTTTTAATTCTTTTCAGGCATGAAAAGCTTCGTTCAGGTGGCTATTGAAATGGGCAAAAGTGCCAATATACGTAAGATCTTAAAAACATTCCCAAAAGACGTTGTACTAGCTACTTGTAATGCTTGGAGAGCATTTCGAAAATGTTCGTGTGAAACTCGTTTTTTTCCACATTTTTACCTCCAGAAGAAAGTTTTGTTTCGAGCAGTCGATTACTTTTTCATAGAAAGCAAACAATTCTTCAGTTTTTTTTTCATTAAAATCACACTTTGGAAACAAAACACTAAAATTATTTAAAACTGATTTATGGTTTAGGAACCGGCTTTTCAAATGAGCAATATATGTTTCAAGGAAGGGAATGTAAAAAGCAATGCGACAGTATGCCTCGGCGTCTCCGGTTTTTACATTAAAGCAATTCTTTTGGCGACTGCTGTATCGCGGTACTTTGATTTCTGTACCTAGGTTGGTGCATACTTCTTCTACGTGTTCGAAAAGCAAATGACAGTTTTTTCTGCATCTTGTCGCATTTCTTCAAATTCCTTTAAAGCGTCGTCGGCTAAGCTCATTGCTTCTGCAAGATCTTCATCAGGTACTTGTAATTGCCAGCAACAACAATTTATAAAAAAGCAAATGCTTGGCTGTTGTCGCTGTGCTAACAGTTTTTCAAACCCTGATAAGTTCTATAGATATTTGCACGATACAAATAATTTTTACGGTATTTTCCCCGTGACAAATAAAAAGTTTTTGACAATTGGAAGAAATACAACTTCGAAAGTCTTTTTAAAACGATTTTTCATTTTACTACGTTAGAACCGTTGCCGAGAAACTTATGGATACATATACATATACACAAAAATTGCTCGTTTAAGGTAATTAGAATAAGGAGCAAAATTTCCCGCAAAACCTCCTCGCTCAGATCCACTGTTCCGTTGATTCAGATTAACGATGCCGTCTGTCTATGTTATAAGAGTATACTGCGAGGGTACAACATAAGGAGATTCTAACACTTAATCAACCACGCAAAATATATCTTTACAGGACACTGAGGGCATATGAGTAGACTGAGGATTTGATATAATGATCGTTGTCTCTAATGCGACTCAAATAGGAGACACCAATTCATAATCTCCCTGGGTGTGATAACGCCTGCAGAAGACATCTAGACTTATTGTGCCTACAGCATGAGCGACTTCACTACCTACTAAATACTATGTATGTTGCAGAAGAAATGCGACTAAGTTTCCAGTGTGCGCTGGAGAAATTGGCTGATCCCAAATATTAAAAAATGAATACCATGGCCCCACGGCAAAGTGAGCTTCCACTTAACTCACAACGTTATAAATAGTTGACTAGACATATCGCCTATTTGCTGCAAGAACGTAATAATGCACAAAAACTCTTAAGTATAAAAAGTCAACTGCTAGACAGGTTCCTTACAACGCTAAATGCAACTGTTTCCCAAGGCCCAGCAAATATTGACCACTTGCCCTCGAAACCATTGTAGGGATCTCTGTTTTTCCTAGTTTGATTCGCTGCAATAATATGGGAGTCGTTTGGCGTTTCTCAAAGATATTTTTTAAGAGAAAACGCTATATTACATTCTGATATTCATTTTGGAGCAATCTGTGAAGATCAGGATCGCATCATCGCTTACAACGTTATTAACTTCCAAGTCACTTCTGTGAGGAAAATGGTTTTCGCAGTTTCGGTCAAAGTTCACTTCCATGATCTGATAATCGCTACTCCTTTCCTACTCCATCCAGAATGAAAGCATGACAGTTAATGCGTCTTTCCATTGTTCAACTTTCACAGACGATTAGTTGAATCAAAAGTTGAACGAAAGTTGGATGCTGAAAAACTTCATTGAAAGCCATTTGTTGAAAGACTGTTTGCACCATTGAACTCTCGCATTTAACAAAAAGTTGAACAATGCAAGCGCTGCTTTAGACACGTTAAGACTCAGAGCACTCTTAGCTGTGGCGCTCTTCACGTACATACGTACATATTTACAACAATTTTTATTGATGGATTGTCCAAAAGTGGCTCTAAAGCCGCCTGGGACGTCAATGCAATTGCCCCCCTTGTAGATTACATAAGATAAGACTTAGAGGAGGTAGCAAGTCACCTAGTTACCTCGACCGAAACGATCTATTGCAAAAGATCTCTATTTGGCTACAGGTATTTATTGAACCACGAATTGCTAAAGACTTTGCGAGGTCCTTTGGCTGAATGCAATTAAGGTTATGCGCTTCTAGGTATATAGGCAAGGCATGTTGTTGCACCCTTTGCAGGTTGATAAGATGCAACGCTTCTCAATTTCAATCTTTCAGAAGTAAAGCGCACTAAGTACTTTCATTGTTTACTCTTTATCCATTATCCATGAAAGCTTAAAGTCAAAAATAGCCGCAACAACCTGACGTCTTTTGACAAGAGAGGATTTTAAATAAGAAGAAATGGTTCAGTTTTAGATGGATTAACCCCCAGGTCGCTAAGTGTGGTTTTTAGTGCATTTGACTGTCGAGGTGAACTTTCTTGAGTCAACATTATAGGTTTTAGATGCGGAGCGAAACAGACATTCATTAAGCTGAGGTTCCTTAACAGAGAGATGAAAACCTTTACAGAGGGGAACTTAGTATATTTCTTTTCCTTACTCCTATTGCCAAAG